GGGTTGAGAAAAGGTGATGATCAGGCCTGCCTCTAGAATCCCCATTAGCAAACCATTAGAAAGGCAGGTCGGGGGGCTTCCCTGGTGATCCAGTCATTAAAAATCCTACTGCCAATGCAAGTGACGCGGGAAGATCCCATATGCTGCAGGGCAACTAAGACCGTGTACCTCAACTGCTGAGGCCTGTGCACCTGGAGCCCATGCTCTGCAACAAGGGGAGTCACTGCAAGGAGAAGTCCGTGCAACTCAACAAAGAGTAGCCTCTACTGGCTGCAACTAGAGAAAGCCCACCAGTAGCAACAAGGGCCTACCGCAGCCAAAGGGAGGAAAAAAAAGCATGTCTGTATATGATATTGGTTCCATATCGATTTTTACCTCCTCAGTATCATTCTGAATAGGTGAGCAGACACTCGTGAGCACAGAAAGAGTAATTGAGAGCTTCCCTGGTGGCTCAGGGGTGAGGAATCCGCATGCCAGTGCAGGAGACATGAGTTCGATCCCTGATCTGGGAGGATCCCAGCAGCTAAGCCTGTGCACCACAACTGCTGAGCCTGTGCCTCAGAACCTGGGAGCCACAACCACTGGAGTCCGAGTACCCTAGGGCCCCTGTTCCGCCACAAGAGAAGCCCCTGCAAAGAAGCCCGAGCACCACGAGTAGAGAGTACACTCTGCTCGGCACAACTAGAGAAAAGCCCGCATAGCGAGGAAGACCCAGCACACCAAAAAGAGATGCATTAAATTAACACCAACAACAAAATAACAAAAGAGTTGTTGAATGGCTGTGAGTTCTAAGGGACATTTGATGATCAGGAGTGTCAGCATGCCTTTATTTTTATGTTTTATTAAAAAATTTTGAATTGAACTATAGTTGATTTACAATGCTGCATTAGTTTCAGGTGGCAGCAAAGTGACTCTGTTTTTTGTTTGCTTTTTCGGCCGTGCTATGTGGCATGTGGGATCTTAGTTCCCTGACCAGAGATCAAACCTGTACCTCCTGGCAGTGGAAGCTCAGAGTCTTAATCACTGGACCACCAGGAAAGTCCCAGGTTTACACACACACACACACACACATTCTTTTTCAGATTTGCTTCCATTCTAGGCTATTGCAAGACATTAAGTATAGTTCCCTGTGCTATACAGGAGGTCTTCGTTGGTTTTCTATTTTATATATAGCAGTATGTATATTTTAATCCCAAACTCCGAATTTATCCCTCCCCCCTTTCATAACCACATGTTTATTTTCTATGTCTGTGAGTCTATTTCTGTTTCATAAATAAGTTCATTTGTTTCATTCTCTTTTTAGATTCCACATGTAAGTGATATCATATGATGTTTGTCTTTCTTTGACTTATTTCACTTAGTATGATAATGTCTGGGTCCATCCATGTTGCTACAAATGGTATTATCTTTCTTTTTTTCTCTTCTTTAACAAAACTTTTTATTTTGTTTTGGGGTATAGCTGATTACAAGGATGTCTTTACATCAGATTAGTAAATGCACTGCTCTTACATAATTCTGGTAATCTAGACATTCTCAAAATAATTTATGGGACCAAAGAAACAAAAAATCACAAACAGGCAGGACATGTCTTTCTTTATCCCCGTAAGGTGTCAGTAAATCATGAAACTTCTGTTTGTTTGTTTTTTCCAATAACAAAAATCTGTAATACTGTTAGTGGAGGTACTTTACTATTTTACAAGGATTCCAGCAAGTCTGTTCCAATAAAGGCCAAGCATAAGTAGGTCGGGCTTTCCAGGTGGCACTAGTGGCAAAGAACCTGCCTGCCAGTGCAGGAGACATAAGAGACTCGGGAAGATTCCCTGGAGAAGGGTATGGCAGTCCACAGCAGTATTTGGCTAGCAAACCCCATGGACAGAGCCCGGTGGGCTACACTCCAGAGGGTCAAAAAGAGTCAGACACGACTTAGCATGCACACATAAGTAGATTAAGAAATTTAACTTCTTGTAATTTCTTTCTAGGACTTGCCTGGTGGTTCAGATGGTAAAGCATCTGCCTACAATGCAGGAGACACAGGCTTTATCCTTGGGTTGGGAAGATCCCCAGGAGAAAGAAATGGCAACCCACTCCAGTATTCTTGCCTGGGAAATCCCATGGATGGAGGAACCTGGTAGGCTACAGTCCATGCGGTCGCAAAGAGTTGGACATGACTAAACAACTTCACTTTCACTTTCTTTCTTTCAATTTCTTTCTAAACATCTTTTTATTTTGTTTTGACTGAGGATATATATTGGTGGGAAAGTTGCAAGCAAGATGAAAGTGGCTGTGGACTATCATGTACCAGATACTTTCAGATAAAATAGAACCCAAGGCTCAAAGTCTTGAGAATGAGCTATGAGCCACAGGGGTATTTTACGCCCTTGAAAAGATATAAGAGGCATGAGCTTTTATACCCCAATAACAATTTTTATTTTGAAATAATAAAAGTAAAACATAAGATGTTACACATAAAAATAAGGTAAAAATGTTCTCAATACTCAAAAAACTAATAAATCCAGTTTTTTTCTCTCAGAAATCAAGAGATCAGGTAAATGAAAAAGTAATAATGCAGTACTGAGCATGACTTTGGCCTCAATCAAGCATTTGGGTGGAGAATGAAATGGTAACCCACTCTAGTATTCTTGCCTGGAGAATCCCACGGGCTGAGGGGCCTGGTGGGGTACGTCCACAGGGTCACAAAGAGTCAGACATGACTGAGAGTGAGCACATATGCAAGCATTCGGGGCTTCTCAGAGACCCACGGAGCTCCTTGGAGGGGGAGCTGCCTGCAGGCTAGGCTGATGTGAGGAGCAATCCAAGATAGGTACTTTTTTTTTTTAATCTTTTGGCTGCACTGCACAGTATGTGGGATCTTAGTTCCCTGATCAGGGAATCAGGGTTCCTGCATTGGAAGGTGGATTCTTAACCACTGGACCAGCAGAGAAGTCCCTGGGCTTGCTCCATATCTCTTTTCCTCTTTCTCCTACCCCTATCTTTCCAGGGAAGCCTAAGGACTGGCTGGAGAAATGTAGGCCAGCCACCGGCGTAGGGAGCACAGGGCAGGGCCGCAGGTTCAGGGGCAGGGAGAGGAGGCAGGGGCGGGGGTCCTTTGGGACCTCCATCAGTCTTCCAGTTCCTTGAACGTTCACCAGCTGTGTCACACACAGTACCTGGAGGCAGTTGACAGCTGCATATGCAAGGGACGGAACAAGATCATTTTGGATATTGCCAAGTTCTAGGAAGGAAATGGACTTCCCTGATGGTGCAGATGGTAAAGCCTCTGCCTGCAATGCAGGAGACAGGGGTTTGACCCCTGGGTCGGGAAGATCCCCTGGAGAAGGAAATGGCAACCCACTCCAGTACTCTTGCCTAATCCCATGGACAGAGGAGCCTGGTAGGCTATAGTCCATGGGGTTGCAAAGAGTCGCACACGACTGAGGGACTTCACTTTCACTTTCAGGAAGGAAATACAACAGGTCAGTGAGAAGGACAGTCAGTGGGGGCATATGGGCTTGACTTGAAGGCTCAGAAGAAGCTTGCCCTGTGACCATCTGGGCGAGAAGTCCTCAGGAAGAGGCCGGCCCGAGGCTGGAGCAAGCTTGGTATTCACCAGGAAAGGACAGTTGGGGCAGGGGACAGGCAGGTAGGCGGTCAGGAGGCGAGAGCTCCGGGACCATTGTCAAGGACCAGGGAAGGACCTGTGTAAGCGGTCCCTTGGGTGCGGGGGAGGCAGGTGCTGGTACTGCGCCTCATCTCTTGCAAGGGGCTGCACTCAGCCCTGACCCGGGGAGCTCACGGGGACTGGCCGTTCACAAGCGCTGTGTAACAAAGACCACAGAGGGGGCCTTCTTAGGGGAAACCCCACCCCTTGTTGCACACAGAGTGCCCCTGAGCCCACCAGCCGGAGCCCACGCCCACTGCCCCTTCTGCAGCGTGTGAAGTCCAGGAGGGGTGCTGACAGCCCAGCTTCAACCTCTGGAGAAGCTCCCATGCTCCCCAAGCACAAGGCATGCCCCCCGTGTATCCCCAATGCTCCCCAGGTCAAGAACACCCTGCTCTGCCTGCTCTGGCCCCCAGCGACTCATTCACTTAGAGTCACCACCTGGGCCCCACTGAGGGTACCAGGGCCCAGTATCCCTGGGCTATCCCACCTCCTTGGGATAGTCCTCCAAGTCCAGACTCCAGACTGCCTCCCCTGCCTGGAGGGACCCCACCCCCAGAAGCCAATGCCTGGGGACTCATCACTGGGTGCACACATAGGGGCACCAAGGAGGCACAGGTTCCTCCCGGGTTATTGTCTGTAGAGTCACAGGGACACGGGAATGAATAACCAGCGATGTTTCCCTCTTCCTTTTTTTTTTTTTTTTTTTTGCCATTTCCTTCCCCGTAGGACCCAGGTAAGAAGGTTTGTAAAAGGCGATTTCAACTTGAAAATCACCCTGAGGAGGGTGACAAAAAGAGCTGGAACCTGCCACTAGGGGGCAGCTTGGGCCACAAGCGGGGACCAGCCTAAGGCCCGCAGAGGGAAGGACGAGACCCAAGACCACCAGTCCCCCAGGAGAGGCTTGTGGGTGGTCTTCTCCTCCCGGCTCAGCCCAACAGTGCCCGGCCCCAATCGGCACTCAGTGAGGACTTGGGACTGTGCTTTCATGAGAGTCTTGATGGTGGGCCAGGTCCTTGGTCCTTGCTAGAGGAAGGAGCGGCTAGTACAGAGGGCAGCAGGGGGCGGCCAGGCCCCCAGCGTGGCGGGCGAGAGAGGGGTCGGCTGCTCGCACCGGTTCCCGGGCCACAGCAAGGTACGTCGTTGGGAACCAGTCCCAGTAACAAGCTCAAAGCCGGGCACTGTGACGTCCCAGGTACCCAAACAAACCTTGGACCAGCCAGATCGACGGCCCGGCGGGGGCGGCCAGGGTTCCCGCGGCTCCCTCTCCCCCAGGGGGCACTCAGCGGGGCCCTGGAGCGGGTGGGATCAGAGAGGGCGCCGGGCGGCGGGGGGCGAGGCCATGCGCCCGCAGGGGGCGGCGCAGCTGCTGGCGCTGCTGCTGGTGCGGATCGAAATCGCCGAGCAGGGTGAGCTCGGGCGAGGGCTGCGGGCGCGAGCCGGGGTGACTGGGGCGGCTGGGGCGCGAGGAGGCAGAGGGGAGCTCATCTCGTCTCCTGCCCCCAGCCTTTCGGGACAAGGACCTGCTACTTCCAGGTAAGGCGTGCGGGAGGCGCTTCCCCGCGGAGGGCTCGTGGGCCCGAGCGCGAAGGGCGCCTCAGCTTTCCCTCTCCCCCTCCAGGTTTTCAGAACTCGTCGATGCTCTCATGTAACTGATGGGCCCCGGGGGGGGGGGGGGTGCGGGGGGCAGGATGGGGCGGGCGCCCGCGGGCCACGAGGGGCGGGTCCCCAGCGTTCGACGCTTCCTGGGTGGCACGACCCCAGGACGCGCGGTTCCCCCGGGAGCCCCTTCCCTTCGCGCACCCCAAAGATGAGGGTGGGCAGGATGAGCCTGCCTCCCGCAGCTCAGCCTGGTGTCCGTCTGTCCATCCCAGGGCCTTGTGGCCTCCAGGGCATCCAGGTGCGCGTGGTGGGTGGAAATGAGGCCAAGCTTGGGCGCTGGCCGTGGCAGGGCAGCCTGCGCTGGAATAAAGTCCACAGCTGCGGAGCGAGCCTGCTCAACCGCCGCTGGGTGCTCTCCGCCGCACACTGCTTTGAAAAGTGAGTCTGGGGGCAGGGGGCCCGCTGACCCCGCGTCCCGGGTCTGTCAGGACGCGCGCCCATGTCCCACGTGGCCGCGGCCCTCGTGTGCTCCTGAGCCCCAGGCTGGGCTGCAGCCCGTTGCACACGGGCGCGAGGCCCCGGGGCGCTCCCGGAAGAAAACCTGTGCGGTTTCTTCCGGAACATTCGTGTGTCCTGTTCTCTTTCTCGCTTCATTTGTCCCCAAATGGCACCTCCAGCCTCCACCTTCCTCACCCCACCTCCCAGCGGAGGTGTGCCCCCGGGGGAGGAATGAGCTGAGGTAAGTGCTGGACAGGAGCCCGGCTGGTGGGGTCAGTGGCCCCCGAGGCTGTTTGGAGCCCAGCCTGTGTGACCCCGGTGAACCTGCTGGTCCCCTGAGGCGGGACCTGAGAGCAGGGCCCTGGAGGCGACAGGTGGTTGAGTTGACCAGCCAGATCAGCTGGCAGGGGAAGCACCCTCCTGCCCGAAGTCCCTAGGTGTGGGACTTTGGTTGGGGCTCTTGGGGCTCTCCCCGTTTCTACTCTGGTCTCTTTGTGGAAGGAGGACGTGCTAACGGGGTCCAGGGTGAGCCGGGCAGCGTCCCAGGGGTCTCAGGCTCTGGGAACAGCCCCAGGCTTGCTGGGGGGTCCCACCCTCCCTCTGAAGACCCCTGAGGGCTTTCTCCTCCCTTGCCAGGAACAGTTATCCCTCCGAATGGTCAGTCCAGTTCGGGGAACTGTCTTCCACGCCATCCATTTGGAGCCTGCGGGCCTTCCTGCGTCGATATGGAGTCCAGGATATTATCACATTCCCCCAATTCAGGAGGAAATCGCAGCACGACATCGCGCTGGTCAAGCTCTCCTCCCCGGTTACCTTCAATAAGCACGTCCAGCCCATCTGCATCGTGTCCTTCTCCTCCGAGTTCAAGAACCGGAATGACTGCTGGGTGACTGGCTGGGGGGACATCAGTGAGATAGAGAGTGAGGTTGGGGACAGACGGGCGGGGGAGGGGAGCGGTATCCGCCAGACCCTGTGCCTGCCCCGCACACCAGCTCCAGGGGCCCCACCTCGGTCTGTGCCCACTCTGCCCTCGCTTCGTCCCCTCAGCCGTCGGCCCTCACCTCCTCCCCCACTGCAAAGCAGGGCTTTCTGCACCCACACTCAGCTCCCCCTCCCTTCCAGAGGCCCCCCTGCCCAGACCTGCAGCCCCAGCCTGCAGGGGTGTGAGAGGTTTTGGGGTGCATGAGGTTTTGGGGTGCACTTATCAGAAAAGCACCGGGCTTTTTTTTTTTTTTGGAAATACAGTTCACAAAGCATAAAAATCATCCTTTTAAAGTGTACAATTCAGGGACTTCCCTGGTGGTCTGGTGGTTAAGACTCTGCCCTTCCACTGCAGGGGGGCATGGGTTCAATCCCTGGCAGGGGAACTGAAATCCCACATACTATGTGGTATGACCAAAAAAAAAGAAAGCATAAAATTCAGAGGGTTTTTTTTTGCGGGGGGGGATACTCAGAGTGGTGTGGGTATCACCACTATCTAATTATGGAACATTTTCATCATCTCAAAATGAAATCCCAGGCTTATTACCCATTACTCCTTATTCCTCATTGTCCTTGGCCATAGTCCCTGGCAACCACTAATCTGCTTTCTGCCTGTATGGATTTACCTACTCTGATCACTTCATATGAACACGATCTACAACATATGGTCTTTGGTGCCTAGCTTCTCTCACTCAGCATCACATTTTCTTTTTTTTTTTTTCATTTATTTTTATTAGTTGGAGGCTAATTACTTTACATCATTGCAGTGGTTTTTGTCATACATTGAAATGAATTAGCCATGAGCATAACATTTTCAGTGTTCATTTTTGTTTTGGCATGTGTCAATACTTCATTCCTTCTTTCTTTTTGCGTTATTTCTCATATCAACCATTTAAAAATGTACAATTCGAGACTTCCCTCTTGGTTCAGGGGTCGAGATTTCACCTTCCAACGCAGCTGGTGTGGGTTCTATCCCTGGTCAGGGGACTAACATCCCACATGTTGTTGTTGTTCAGTTGCTAAGCGAGTCCGACTTTGTGACCCCGCGGACTTCAGCATGCTGGATCCCACATGCCTTGCGGTCAAAAAACAAAACAAAACATAGAACAGAAGTGATGTTGTAACAAATTCAGTAAAGATTTTTTAAATGGTCCACATCAAAAATAAAGTCTAAAAAAAAAAAAATAAATAAAGTCTATAATTCAATGGCATTTCAAACATGCACAGTGCATAACCATTGACTCTATCAAGTTCAAAAATATTTTCATCACACCCAAAGGAAATTCCATAACCATTAAGTAATCACTCCCCATTACAGCCCTCCCGCCAGCCCTTAGCAACCACTACCAGCTTTTTGTCTCTATGGATTTATGTTTTCTGGGTATTTCAAGTAAAATGGAATCATCCACTATGTCACCTTTCATGTTTGGCTTCCTTCACTTAGCATAAAGTTTTCAGGATCCATCCATGTTATAGTATGTATCAAAACTTCATTCTTTTTTTCCATTGTATGGATGTATCACAATTTGTTCATTCATTCATTCACTGATGACTGTGTCGTTCCATCTTTTGGGTATTTGTGTCAATATTAGTATACAAATTTGTGCTTGAATACCTCTTTTCGGTTATTTTGTGAATGCATTTAGCAGTGCAATCCTGGATCACATGATAATTCTATTTTAACTTCTTGAGGAGCTGACAGTGTTCCATAGCAGCTGCTCCATTTTATATTCCCACCAACAATGAGGGTTATAATTTCTCTCCATTCTCCTCCACACTTATTGTTTTCCAGGTTTTTGTTGTTTGGGGGGAGGGCATCCTAATGAGTGTGAAGTGGTGTCTCACTGTGGTTTTTTTTTAATAATAATATTCATTTATTTTTGGCTGTGCTGGGTCTTTGTTGTTGTGCAGGCTTTTTTCCCTCCTGTTGTGGGGTGCAGACTTCTCATCGCAGTGGCTTCTTCTGTTGCAGAGCTTGGGCTCTAGGGTACATGGGCTTCAGTAGTTGCGGCTCCTGCGCTCTAGAGCACAGGCTCAGTAGTTGTGGCCCACCAGCTTAGTTGCTCCACAGCATGTGGGATCTTCCCAGGCTAGGGATGAAACCTACATCTGCTTTGGCAGGAGGATTCATAAGCATTGAGCCACCAGGGAAGCACCCTCTCACTGTGGTTTTGATTTGCATTTTCTCTAATGACCTGTGATGTTGAGCATTTTTTCATGTGCTAGTTGGCCATTTGTATATCTTCCCTGGAGTAATGCCTATTTAAGTACCTTACCCTGGGTTTTTTTTTTTTTTTTTTTTTTTGCCACACTACACGACTTGTGTGATCTTAAGGATTGAACCCGGATCCTCAACGGTGAAAGCAGTTGTAACCACTGGACCACCAGGGAGTTCCCAACTCATTTTTAAAAATATTTAATTAATTTATTTGGCTGATCCTGGTCTTAGTTACTGCACAAGGGATCGTTGATCTTCGTTGCAGCATGAGGGATTTCTTTTTTTTAGTTGCTGTATGTGGGAGCTAGTTCCCTGAGAAGGGACAGAACCTGGGCCTCCTGCATTGGGGCAGGGACTCTTAGCCACTGAATCACCAGGGAAGACCCCAACCCATTTTTAAATTGAGTTGCCTTTGCAGTTGAGTTGTAATAGTTCCTTATATATTCTGGATACTAGACTCTTTTTAGAGATGTGATTTGCAAATATTTGTTCCTATTTTGTGGGTTTCTTTGTTTTTTCTCCCCCCCCCCTTTTTTTTTCTGTTTCTTTTTTTTTTTAAACTGGTACCTGGGTCTCACTGCATAAATTTAGTTGGTCTGGGATGTGGCATGGATGCTGGGGTATTTTAAAGCCTCCCAGGTGATTCTAATATGTAGCTAGGGGTGAGACCAGCTGGCTTGTTGGGGTTCATAATGAGCAGAGGGCCAAGTGATGCCAGGAAGGAGGGTTACGATAATCTCCAGGAAACGGATAAAGAGCTAAAGATTTGAAAGTTGAAATGAAGACTTCGCCTAAGTTCTGTCGACAGGTAGGCTTTAGTGTCTGAAAGTTGTGTTTTGAATCCTCTTACATAACTTCAGATTCCTCGAAATAGGGATCATAACCTCCCTCCTCCCAGGTTGCTCCTTGCTGTCAGTCCCTGGTGTTGATGCGGGAATAGCACTTCAGACGCAGGGCTGAACCAAGACTCACGGACCACATCTCTTTTCACTTTCATGATAGTGTCTATTTTTTAAAAATATATTTAATTATTTATTTTTGGCTGCACTGGGTCTTTGTTGCTGCTCATGGGCTTTCTTTAGTTGCAGTGTGCAAGCTTCTCATTGCAGTAACTTCTCTTATTGTGGAGCATGGATTCCAGGGCCTGCAGCTTCAGTAGTTGTGGCATGTAACCTCAGTAATTGCGGCTTGCAGGCTCAGTAGTTATGGCATGTGGGATCTTCGAGGACCAGGGATTGAACTTGTGTCCCCTGCACTGACAGGTGGATTCTTAACCACTGAACCACCAAGGAAGTTCATGACAGTGTCTGTTGATGCACAACATTTTTAACTTTGATGAAGTTCTGGTTGCTTTTTTCTTTTTCTGCGTTAGCTTTTGATGTCATGTCTAAGAAATCATGTTCAAGTTCAAGGTCATGAAAATGTACTCTCATGTTTTCTTGAAGAGTTTAAGTTTTGTTATAGTTTTAGCTGTTATATTGATAAGTATGTCTTTGACTCATTTTGAGTTGATCTTTGTTTATGGTGCGAGATAAGGGGTCTGGCTTCATTTTTTTGCATTTGGATATCTAGTTGTCTCAACACCAGTTGATGAAAAGACTGTTCTCTACTGAATTGTCTTGGCACCCTTGCCAAAAATTAATTGGCCAAAGAAGAAAGGGTTTGTTTTGTTTTTCTACACTCAAAATTATGTTCCATTGGTCTGTGTTTCTATCCGTTTGCCAGGACTCCATTGTTTGATGCCTGTACCTTCCAATTATGCTTTGAAATTGAGAAGTGTGTGTCCTCCAACTTTATTCTACTTTTTCAAATATTGGTTTTGTTATTTGGGGTCTCTTGATATTTTACATAAATTTTAGAATCAGCTTGTCAATTTCCACTCAAAAGACCTTTGGAGTTTGGATAGAGGTTGCATTGAATCTGTAAATTGCTTTAGGAGAGTACTGTCATTGAAATAATATTAAGTCTCCAGTCCGTTAACATGAGATATGTTTCCATTTATTTAGATCTTCTTTAATATCTTTCAGCAATCTTTTGTAGTGCTTCTTGTGTACAGATCTTTCATCTCCTCAATTAAATCTATTGTTAACTATTTTATTCTTATTGATGCTATTACATAAATGAATTTTCTTTTCTGATATTGTTTTGGAATTGTTCATTGGCAGTGTACAGAAATATAATTGATTTTTATGTCAATTTCAGATCTGCAGATTTGTGAAGTTTATTAATTCTAGTCCTTTCTTGTATATTCTTTATGATTTTCTGTATACAAGATCATGTCATCTGTGAATAAAGAGAATTTCACTTCTTCCTTTCCAACTTGAATATGTTTTTATTTCTTTTTCTTGCCTAATTGCTCTGACTAGAACTTCCAATAAAATATTAAGTGGAAGTGGCAAAAAAATCTGGCATCCTTGTCTTAGGGGGAAAGCTTTCAGTCTTTCACAATTCTGTATGATATTAGCTGTGGATGCTTCACATATGATCATTATCAGGTTAGGAAAGTTCTCTCTATGCTTACTGGTTGTCTTTATAATGAAAGAGTGTTGGATTTTCCTGCATCAATCAGGATAACCATGTGGGTTTTTTCCTTTGTTCTATTACTATAGTATGCAGTATATTGATTGATTTTTATATATTGGACCCGCCTTGCACTCTTCAGATAAATCTCACTTGGTCATGGTGTTAGAATTCCTTTAATATGAAGGACAGGGAAGCCTGGCGTGCTGTGGTCCAGGGGGTTGCCAAGAGTTGGATACGACTGAACAACCAAACAACAACAATGCTGCTGAAGTCAGTTTGCTAGTATTTTGTTAAGGATTGTTGCATATATGTTGATCTGTAGTTTCTTTTGTGAGATAGCTTATCTGGGCTTTGTTGTCACAGAACGAGTTAGGAAGTGTTGTTCAAAAAGGTTTGATGTTAATTTCTTTCTATGTTTAAAAAAAATAAATATTTACTTGCTTGGCTCTGTGGGGTCTTAGTTGCAGCATGTGGGATCCTAGTTCGAACCCTCATCCTTTGCATTACAAGGCAGATTCTTAACCACTGGACCACCTGGGAAAACCCCTCTTGCTGTGTTTGATAGATGCCACCATTTAAGTTATCTGGCCCAGAACTTCTCATTGGGAGATTTCTGACTACTGACTAAATCTCTTTACCTAGATTTTCTATTTCTTCTTGAATTTGTTTTGGTATTTTGTGTGTTTCTAGGAATTTGCTCCCTTCTTCAAGGTTATCTAATTTGTTGGCAGACAATTGTTCATAGTATCACTGATAGTCCTTAAATTTTCTTTACGGTCACTAATCATGTCCTCACTTTCACTGTCAGTTTTGTTGATCTTTCAAAGAACCAGCTTTTGCTTTCGTTGATTTTTCGCTATTGTTTTTCCCTTTCCTAGTTGTTTTTTAACCTGCATCTATCTATCTATTATTTCCTTCCTCCTTCTATCTTTGGGTTTAATTTGCTCTTCTTTTTCTAGTCCCGTAAGTTAGATGATTAACTTGAGATTTTTCTCCTTTATTAACATAGTCATTTCCAGCTATAAATTTCCTTGTGAGAGCTGCTTTTGCTGCACTGCAATGAGTTTTTGATATGTTGTGTTTTTATTTCCATTCATCTCACAGTGCTTTCTAATTTTCCTCATGATTCCTTTTTTGGTTAGGAGTATGTTGTTGAATTTCCATATAGTGAATTTTTCAGTTTTCCTTCTGTTATTGAAGGAACAGAATTCTAGCCTCAATCAGCTGTTTTCTATGCGGTCAGTCTTTTCTACTTTATTCTAACTCATTCTGTGGTCTGACATCTATCTTGGAGAATGTTTTGTATCCACTTAAAAAGAATGTGTGTTCTGCTCTTCTTTGGGGGGATTGTTCTGGTCTACTGACTCTTCAAGACTTCTATTTTCTTAGTGGTCTTCTCTTTGATTGTTCTTTCCATTAATAAAAGTGGGACATTGAAGTCTCTGGCTGTTATTCTAGAACTGTCTGTTTTTCCCAGCAGTTACATCAATTTTGTGTCATGTAGTTTGGGGCTCAGTTGTTAGATGTGTAGGTATTTATAATTATTTTATCTTGAAGACCTGACACATTTATCAATATGTAATGTCCTTCTTTGACTCTTATGACATGTTCTGACTCAAAATCTATTTTGTCTAACATTAGTACAGCAACCTCAGCTCTATTTGCATGGAATGTCTTTTTCCAGCCTTTCACCTTCAACCTATATTTGCATTTGGATCTAAAACTATTGTCTTGTAGACAGGATATGGCAACCCACTCCAGTATTCTTGCCTGGAGAATCCCATGGACAGAGAAGCCTGGCAGCCTACAGTCCATGGGGTCATAAAGAGTCAGACATGAGAGAATAACTTCTAACCATACAGACAGGATATAGTTGGATCCTTGTTTTTAATCTATTCTGCCAATCTCTGCCTTTTAATTGATGTTTAATCCACTTACATTAAAATTAATCACTGATAGGGAAGAAGTTACTGCTTCCTTTATTCTGTTGGTTTTCTATATGCTGTCGGATGTAGAAGATATAGATATTTTGTATCTATATCTTATATCTATACCTATGCCTTATATCTTATTTCTTATTTTGTTTAATTGATTTTTATTAGTATACTGTATTAATGTTCTTCTCATTTCCTGTTCTGTGTATTTTTTAGTTATTTTCTCAGCAGTTGCTCTGGAGATAAGTTAATAACTTAAACTTGTAACAGTCTGTTTTGAATTAATACCAACTTAGGTTCAATAGCATACAAAAATTCTGTTCCCATACAACTCTATTCTTCTCCTTTAAGTTGTTATTGTCACAGTTTACATCTTTATATTTTGTGTAGTCATTAACAGGTTTATAATTATCCTTATGCATTTGTCTTTTAAATTGTATAGAGAAAAAAGTTATGAACCAAAATTATAATAATACTGGCTTTTATATTTACCTGTGTAGTTACCTTCACCATTGTTCTCTATTTCTTCCTGTGGGTTTAAGTTTCTGTCTACTGTCCTTTCATTTCAGCCTGAAAGGGTCCCTTTTCCATTTCTTGAAGGGCAGGCCTACTATGATGAACAGTCTCAGCATTTGTTTATCTGGGAATGTCTTAATCTCGTCTTCATATTTTTTGAAAGGTAGTTTTGCCTGATATTGAATGCTTGGTTGACTGTTTTCTTCTCTTAGCACTTTACATATGTCATCCCACTGCCTCTTGGGCTCCAGGGTGTCTGGGAAGAATTTAGCTGTCAGTCTTGCCAAAGATCCCTTATATTTGATGTGTGTCTTCTCTCTCAACGTTTTTTTTTAAATAAGATTCTCCCTTTGCCTTTTGATATTTTGATGAGAATGTATCTCGATGTGGATCTCCTTGTGTTTATCCTACTTGGAGTTTGTTCATCTTCTTGAATGTATAGATTCACGTGTGTGTGCGTGCTCAGTCATGTCTGACTCTTTGCAATTCCATGGACTGTAGCCCACCTGGCTCCTTTGTCCATGGAATTTTCCAGGCAAGAGTACTGGAGTGGGTTGCCATTTCCTACCCCAGGGAATCTTCCCAGCCCAAGGATTGAAGCCACATCTCCTGCACTGGCAGACAGATTCTTTATCACTGAGTCGTGTCTTTCATCAAATTTGGGAACTCTTCAGCCCGGATCATGCAGCTGTAGTATACTGATTACAAACAAGCTCAGCCGCATCAGCCCCTCCCCTCTGTGTATGCTTCAGCCAGGATCTCTCCCCACTGGTCCAGGCAGGGCCTGTCATCTGCATGCCACGAGAGGGAAACTGAATCTGGGGGAGGAGCTGTAACAGCCTCCCCATCCATTGGGCCCTTCTGTGGTCCACCATGTGCTGGGCGCTGGGCTGGAGCAGAGGAGCCATGTCCCGGGTACTGTGGGTGTCCCAGGAAGTCCACTCCCCACCTTCTTACCCCATTTCCCCAGATGGCAGAGGAGAGGCTAAGGTTGTTTCTTTCTCTCTCCCGCCCTCAACCCCTGGCAGAGCTGCCGCCTCCCTACAATCTCCAAGAAGTGCAGGTCTCCATCATAAACAAATCCAGGTGTTCCTACCTGTTCCAGCAGCCTTATTACCGCAGCAACATCAATTATGACATGATTTGTGCTGGCTCTGAGGATGGCAACGCTGACAGCTGCAAAGTGAGTACCCTGCTCCAGTGAGGGCTGTACCACTCCTCCCCATCTTGGTTCTGAGGGCAACCCCCTTGACCCCCCACCAATCCACCCTCAGAGTTTATTCATGAGATCACTGTAGACCTCATTTATCCAGCCTGTAAAACAAGCTTCCTGTTTCACACTCATTGTACCTCCTTGGATCTTTATGTGAAATCCAGAGGACAGACTCTGCTCTCCCAGCCTCTCCTGGGGGCCCTCATGCCCCACCCTCGGCTTTGCTCACCCACACTGCTTTCCAGGGTGACTCAGGCGGACCCTTGGTCTGCGAAAAGAATGGGCGGTGGATTCAGATTGGAATTGTGAGCTGGGGAGTGGGCTGTGGTAGGCGCAACCGGCCTGGTGTCTACACCAATGTCAGTCTTTACTTCAACTGGATCCAATTGCTGACGGCCCGAAGCACACCCAGGCCAGACCCCTCTCGGTGGCTGCTGGCTCTGCTCTGGACTCCCTTACTCCTGCGGATGGCCTGTGCACACTTGAGTCCATGAGAATGCTGTAGTTACCGCAGCTCCGGGCACATTCACCAAGGGCTGGGGGCACCCTGGTGGCAGGACGGCCTGCTGGATCAGGCCTCGTCCCCTTCTGTCCCCTTTGCTAATAAAGTGTGTATATTCAAGTTGATGCCCCACAGCACATTCCGTGGCTCCGGGTGGCTTCCTGGACACCCTCATGGTCACCTGCGTCCTGTCCACCCCAAGACCACTCCTCAACTCCTAAATCATCATCCACCCAGGTCTGGGTTGCAAACAACAGAACCCTCTCAGGTAGTTCAATCTGAGAGGACGTTAGTAGCACCAGGGTGGCTGGGGGCTCGGAGGGCTGGAGTGGGGGTGCTGTGGTGGAAATGCCCCCAGACTCCCCAGTGCTCATACCGTGTCCCCCACCACACAGACACAGACACTCTGGTCTCACCACGGTCCCCAAAGGCTGAGCTGGGACCAGCACAAAGGTGCGGGTAGTTCATTCGGGAAGCAATGCCAAGAAGCCCCAGTGAAGAGTGGGGAAACTGAGGCAGAAGGGGTGAGAGCCAGTGACATTTGACCCTTATGGCAGCTGAGGCACAGTCTGGCTGGGCCCCCTCCCTGCCCCGAGAGTTCACACAGACACACCTCAGCATCGCCTTGGGACAAAGACCCAGTGTGGGCACTTTTCTCCTGACTCCCTGTGGTTGAGGGCTGTCCTGGGGGCGTGGAGGCTCCAAGCTCCATCATGTGGCCTGGGTGGAGGGGGTAGCATCAAGCATGTCTGAGCCGGCCCCACTGGGCTCCCAGAACACAGCCTCAGTGTGGCCAATGGACAGGTCAGCGGGGTTGTCTGGGGCCCCTGGGAACTGCTCGGGCAGATCTGCATTTTCATGGGACCCACAGATGCTGTGAGCACAGAAGGTGCTAGAAGCTCTGGTCCGGCTAGGGCTGGTCACTGTGGAGGGGCAGGCGGAGGAGTCTGGGAGGGGTGTCCTCGTCACTCCTGCCTGCCCAAAAGCCACATCGGCCGTGACACCACTTTCATGCCCCTTAGCAGCCCCCAAAGCTGGAGCTTTCCCTTCCCCAGCTACTGAGCCCACAGGCTGCAGTGAAGACCTGACTCAGCCAAATAAATAAATATTTTTTAATAAAATAAATAAGTTTTAAAAATGATGAGGGGCTTCCTTAGTGGCTTGGTGGTATAGAACCCGGCTGCCAATGCAGCAGACATGGGTATGATCCCTGTTCTGGAAAGATCCCACATGCTGCAGAGCCAGTAAGCCTATGCAGCATAACTACTGAGCCCGTGCCCCGTAACGAGAAAGGCCACTGCAACGAGAAGGCCAAGCAGCACGGCTAGACAGTAGCCAGCCCCCGCTCGGCACGACGGGAGGAAGCCCACACAGCAACGGAGACCCGGCACAGTCAAAAGGAAATCAGTTCAGTTCAGTTCAGTCGCTCAGTCGTGTCCGACTCCTTGCGACCCCATGGACCACAGCACGCCAGGCCTCCCTGTCCATCACCCACTCCCAGAGTCCACCCAAACCCGTGTCCATCGAGTCGGTGATGCCATCGAGCCATCTCATCCTCTGTTGTCCCCTTCTCCTCCTGCCCCCAATCTTTCCCAGCATCAGGGTCTTTTCCAGTGAGTCAGCGCTTCCCATCAGGTGGCCAAAGTATTGGAGTTTCGGCTTCAGCATCAGTCCTTCCAATGAACACCCAGGACTGATCTCCTTTAGGATGGACTGGTTGGATCTCCTTGCAGTCCAAGGGACTCTTACGAGTCTTCACCAACACCACAGTTCAAAAGCATCAATTCTTCAAAATCAAAAGTAAATAAATGTTTTTTTTTTTTAATGATGAAACTGAGTCCCAGAGAGGTGACAGAATCTTAAGTCACCTAGCTCACAGCGGCCCATGTCGACCTCAGGCTGTGTGGTGTGCGTGACTCAGAGGGGCCGGCAGGCACCTGGTGGCTGCTGTCTTCCATGTCTCCCAGGTGGGACTCACCTGCTTTGAGATTTCCACCCTCTGCCATCTGCCCTTCGGAGCAGTCAAAACCTGAGGGTGTTCCCACTCATCTCCCACAAAGGCTCTCCGGGCTGGCCCCACATAGAACGCTCTCTGCCTGGTGTCCCGTGTGTTACCAGAGGACCACGTGATTTAATGCCTGTGAAGCGCTGGGCCCCAGACCCCGCTGCCCCGTGACACTGTCCGCAGGCCTGCCTGGCAGCGTGTCACAGCCCCTCCTCCAGCAGCAGGCCGAGTACCCTCTGGTGGCCTAGTGCCTGCGTGACAGTCTCGTCCACAGAAATACCGCCAAGCCCGCCCAGGCACACATTCCCCATAGCGTCCTATTCAGGGCCACTTACCCCAGCCCGGTGCCACAGTGCACCCCTCCCTGCGGCCCGGCTCACCTCACACCGTTGTCCCTCCTTGCATGACTCCGGTTGTTGGGGTTGGCATGGGGTGGGCTCAGGCTGCAGCCCTCCCAGAGGGCCCATGTTGCACTGGGACATCAGTGGGAAAAACACCTGGGTCCCGGGAAGGCCACCCCACCCCGCACCTCATCTGCTGCCAGATCTGCAGGGTGCCGGGGAGTCTGGCCAAGAGCAGAGCTGGGCGCTCATCAGAGACGAGTCTTGTGCTGCATGCGGTGGGCTGGGTGCCGCCATCCTGAAACACACTGGCAGGGTAGCCGGCTCGGGGCACACCTCCCCTCCACGTTTGTTGAATGTTACTTTGTTTTCATTCTTGGCACTTAAAGACTTTGATTGGAAGCAGCCTTACAACCCTTAGAACCAGCATGAGTGAAGGAGAGTTGGTTTAGAAGGATACAGGGCAGCCCGCCGAGCCTAAGGATGGCTGGAATGAGGAGCTCCAATTCTACAGGGCACTGTTCCTCAGTCTGGAAGATTCCAGGCTCTCGAGCCAGCTGAGAGTCCTTGCCTGTGGCCCCAGCCATGGCTTCCCCTGTCTGGGCCCATTGGTCCTCCCTCCCTCCCTCCTCCAGGGTGAAAATCTCAGGGGAGGATTCTGATTGGCTGGTCTGGGGTCACATGTCACCTCTTGACCCATCACTGTTACCTAGGGGCCATGGTGGGATGCTGGCCCTGTTTGGATCATTTGCCCATACCTGGGAGTCGGGGCAGGTCCGGCAGCAGAAAAAGCTGGCCTCCTCCGCCTGGCCCCCAGGAGGAGGGTGGTGAGACGGGCAAGCAGATGACATTTGTCCAGGGTCCGTTTGTGCAGGGTGACTCAGGGGTGAGACTGAGGGCATGTGGGCCAGCAGGGGCCTGTGCCTCAGCTTCTCGATCTGAGGCACAGAGCTGGGTTGGGGTAAACCCCTGGGAAGGGGTTCCGTTCCTACTCCTCTCAGGTTTGATTGCCCATTAGTCAACTAGCTTCAGATCCTCCCACCATAAGCCAGTTCCTCAGGAGGAATTTGTTTCGGGGTCCCTGCCTTCAAGTGTCCTCCAGGCCTCCCAAATTGCAACAGGTAGATGCCCCCCTCAGCTTCCCTGCTGGACTGGTCATCCAGCCTTCGAGTGAACCCCCTCTCAAGGTATGGCCCACGTCCCCAGAGATGGCTGTGTGTCCCGAGTCATGGGTCACTCTCCATCCCACCAGCCTCTCCAGCTGCCCCAGCTCTGCCCACTTGGGTCCACTGCAGCCAAGTCCTCCAGTGGCGGCTGGATCTGGGGTAACCAAGGTCAGGCACCTCAGGGAGAGTGCTGCTTTTATTCTCGTGGCCCTTCTAGAGCGTTTCCATCAGCCTGGCACGGTTCCAGGCACTGCAAGGGCTAACCGTTAAACTTCATGACCACCTGGGGGGGGGGCGGGTTTTACAGAAGAGGAAACTCTCCCAAGGTCTCGGGGGTGGGAGGGGCGACATTCTACAAACCAGCTCTGGAGACTGGAGCGTGGGCTTGAGCCTGGTCCTGGACCGTGGACAGTGGAAGTCAGGCCCCAGGCCGCCCTCCCTTGTTTTGCATGGAAGGCCTGGGGCTGGTTCGCCACTAGCTCCCCTCATTCGTCTCCTTCACCCTCGCCACCCCCCGTGCCTACTGGCCCCTCCCACTTACTCCCGAACACTCAGTGCCCACTCCTTGATGGTACTGCTCTTGCCATTGGGGACTGGATATTTGTGCATGTGCTCAGTCGTGTCCAACTGTTCGTGATCCCGTGGACTGTAGCCCACCAGGCTCCTCTGTCCCTGGGATTCTCCAGGCAAGAATACTGGGGTGGGTTATCATTTCCTCCTCCAGGGGATCTTCCTGACCCAGGGAATGAACCCGTGTCTTCTGTGTCTCCTTCATTGACAGGTGGGTTCTTTACCACTGAGCCACCTGGGAAGAACATGTGTGAACTTTCCAAAATTTATATGTTGAATCTTTAACCCCAATGACTCTGGATGTAATTAAATGAAGTAATAGGATGGACTTATTAGTGTCCTTATAGAAGGAGATACCAGGGACTTTCCTGATGGTCCAGTGGCTGTGAGCTCCCAATGCAGGGGGCCCAGTTTGACCCTGGGTCAAACCTGCCACAGCTAAGACCTGGCACAGCCAATAAATAAATAATTTTTTTTAAAAAAAGAGTGAGACACCAGGGGACTTCCCTGGCAGTACAGTGGTTAGGACTCTATGCTTCCACTGCTGGGGGCCTGGGTTCAACCCTTGGCCAGGGGACTAAGATCCTTCATGCCATACAGCACAACCAGAAAAGATAAAAAGACAGCACCCCCCCCCCAACTGCGCTTCATGCCCAGCAGACACAAAGAGAAGGCTGTGTGATCACTCAGTGAGATGGCAGGGCAGCCCCCTACAAGCCAAGAGAAGAGGCTCACATCTGGCCAGTTCCTTGTTCTTGGACGTCCAGCCTCCAGAATGGAACTTGAGCCCCAGTCTGTGGGCTCAGACGGTAAAGAACCTACCTGCCATGCAGGAGACCCAGGTTCAATCCCTGGATTGGGAAGACCCCCTGGAGAAGGCAGTGGCAAACCACTCCAGTATTCTTGCCTGGAGCATTCCATGGACAGACCGTATGGTCGCAAAGAGTTGGCCACGACTGAGTGACTGACACTGTGGTGTGCTGTCCTGGCAGCCTGTGCTAAGACAGGGACAGAGACCCAGACCCTGCCTTATGGAGGGGAAACAAACAGGCATGAATCAGATCTCCCCTGTCACACATCACCTTGGGACACAGCCAAGGAGGGGGTGTGCTGGACAGAAAGGCCCCCAGGACGGGGAACCAAGTGGACAGCTGCTGGAGGGGGCACTGACTTGGTAAAAGGAGGTTCAGGAGCCTTTCCAGGGGGTGGGTACAGCCCAGGCCCCCACCCCCACCCCATGCCGTTCACCCCACCCCCCACTCCACCCTTGCCTGGCTGAACTCAGGCTCCCACCCCCAGTTCCATGCACCTTGGCCCAAGCCAGGCTTCCTTCAAGAAACCCAGGTGTCCCTTTCCTGCCACAGCAAAAGCACTGTTCAAAGCATCTTTGTTCAAGGCTGGACTGAGGAAGCCACAGCCCCGCCCTGACCTCCTTAATTACCTCCTGGCCCCCACCACCCTCCTGGCTCTTTAAGCCCAGCCCAGTTAGCAGGGAGGACACCAACTGCAAGGGTGAGAAAAGGATACGGGGCCTGCGGGGAACAGGGTTGGGGGGCACCTATTAGGGAAATACAAGATGGGGGAGGGGCTGGGCTCCAGAGCTTGCATGGAGACTTAAGGCGGCCAAATCGTGCAGCACTTGAGGGGGCAGGGGTGGTCCCTGGGGCCTGGGCATAGGGCATAGAACCTGGGCCACAGGGATAGGTCTGGGACCAACCAGCGTCTGAATGAAGACAAAAGGAGCTCAGGGTTGGGGGGGCGGGGGTTGATCCTCCTCTTCTCTTGCCTGGCTCCAACCAGGCTAGTCCTGGGCAGTACCACCCTTACTGGGCCCAGCCCTGAAGACAGAATGAAGTGGGCTTCCTCCCTCCAGGTCCTGCTCCTACTGCTGCTGGGTAAGTGGGGGGCGGGGCTGGGGGTGCTGACCACAGGAGCGTTGGCTTCCATCTGCCCAGCCTTCCTGCTTCCTCTAGAGCACTCTAAGGCATCCTACTCTTTTTTCTATTTTTGGCTGCACTGGGTCTTCCTTGCTCCTTCCAGGCTTTCTCTAGCTGCCGTGTGTGGGCTTCTCACTGCTGTGGCTTCTCTTGTTGCATGTAGGATCTTCCCCAACTAGGGATTGAACCTGTCTCCCAATCCGCATTGGGAGGCAGATTCTTAACCACTGGACCACCAGGGAAGTTCAGGCATCCTATTCTTGGCTCCAGAGCTTCCCCAGTGACTCAGCGGTAGAGTCTGCCTCAATGCAGGAGCCACAGGAGACACAGGTTAAATCCCTGGGTGGGGAAGATCCCTGGGAGAAGGAAATGGCAACCCACTCCAGCATTCTTGCCTGGAGAACCCCATGAACTGGTGGGCTACAGTCCCTGGGGTTGAATAGAGTCGGACATGACTGAAGTGACCTAGCACACCCCCACTACTGGCTCCAAGGGTTCAAGTTCTGTCACTGACCTTGGGCTCTCTGACTCTGGTTGTGCTCGTCTGTGTAATGGGTGTACGTCCCCACCTCACAGGGGTCTGGGGAGGGTTTAATCCTGTAGCCGATTGCACAAAAATCTGGCATCAAGTCAGTGCGACATATGCATGCCACCCTCCTTCCTAACCTGTGACCGCCCTCCCCGTCATCCCGTCACCTGACACCAGACCCTTAGTCCAGTCCCTACCCTGCTTCCACCTCCAGGAGCAGCCGGGACCCTGGCATCTGAAGGTAAGGAAGCCGCGGAAACCCCCTGTGCCTACCCCTCCATGACCCCGCTCCCTGTCTCCCCGGCCCCAGCCTTCCCGAACCCCGCCCCCCAGCCTCCCCGTCCCCCACTGCTCTGCCCACCCCAAGTCCCCTTGTCCTCCCAGCTTGTGGGCAGCCTCGGGTGTCCAGTCGTATCGTGGGCGGCCGGGACGCCCGGGCCGGAGAGTGGCCGTGGCAGGCGAGCATCCAGCACCGCGGGACGCACGTGTGCGGGGGCTCGCTCATCGCACCGCAGTGGGTGCTGACGGCGGCACACTGCTTCCCCAGGTCAGCAGGCAGCCAGGCCCCACCGAGGGACGGTCCCCTACCCCTAGGGCTCCTCGTCGAGGTTTGCCGGGGCGGGGCGGGTGGAGCAAGACCCAGGGAAGGTCTTGGATCCGGGGTCTGTAGGGGGCCATGTTGGTACAGACCCCCGGGTGGTTGGGCAGGGCACAGCCCTTGTTCCAGCGTCCCACAGCCACCGGGACCCCATGCCCAGACTTCGCACAAGTCTCACCCCGGGCTCTAAGAGAGAGGGCGGCGGGGATGAGCGCTCCTGGGCTGGAGGGGGAGCTGCTTTAATTAGACCTAGCGCCCCCGTCACGCAGGAAGGCGCTGCCCGCTGAGTACCGCGTGCGCCTCGGGGCGCTGCACCTGGGTCCCAGCTCGCCCCCTGCTCTCCTGGAGCCCGTGCGGAGGGTGCTGCTGCCCCCGGACTACTCGGAGGACGGGGCCCACGGGGACCTGGCGCTGCTGCTGCTGCGCCGCCCAGCACCCCTGAGCACCCGAGTCCAGCCCGTCTGCCTGCCCGAGCCTGGGGCCCGCCCGCCTCCTGGCACACCCTGCTGGGTCACCGGCTGGGGCAGCCTCCGCCCAGGAGGTGAGGCAGAAGGCAGGGCACAGGGGCACTGGGGGAGGGCCAGGGGCTCTCTCCCCAGCTCGCTCTGACCTCCAGGGACTCAGACATCCTCCCTGTCAGGCCAGGGAACCCTGGGCTGGCAGGTGAGGCTTTTCCCACCAACACCTGCTTTCCACCTCACCCTCTGCGGGCTCTTCCTGGGTGTCCGACTCTTGCAACCCCACGGACTGTAGCCCACCAGACTCCTCGGTCCATGGGATTCTCCAAGTGAAAATACTGGTTGCCATGCCCTCCTCCAGGGGATCTTCCCAACCCAGGGATCAAACCCACACCTCTTAAGTCTCCTACATTGGCAGGCGGGTTCTTTACCACTAGTGCCATCTGAGAAGTCTCTGCCACCTCTTAGACCTCCCCCTTCTCCTCCAGTGCCGCTCCCGGAGTGGCGACCCTTGCAGGGAGTGAGGGTGCCACTGCTGGACGCTCGCACCTGTGACCACCTCTACCACCAGGGCACCAACGTGCCCCGGGTCGAGCACATAGTACTGCCAGGGAGCCTGTGTGCCGGCTACGTTGGGGGCCAGAAGGATGCTTGCCAGGTGCGAGAAGCTGCCTAGAACGCCTGGGGCCCACACCCCTGTGGCCAGCACCCTATCTCCTTAGAACCCGGGACCCAGGATGTACCACCTGCAGGCTCAGTGTACTGAATCCCGACCCAGAGGCACCACTGAGGGATGGCAGCCTGGGACCCAGAGTCCCTGGGGGGCTGGGACCTAAGCTCACCTTTCTCCTGCAGGGTGACTCTGGAGGACCCCTGGTCTGCATGAAGTCTGGGCGCTGGGTCCTGGTGGGTGTGGTGAGCTGGGGCAAGGGCTGTGCCCTGCCCAACCGTCCAGGGGTCTATACCAATGTGGCCACCTACAGCCCTTGGATTCAGGCTCACCTCAACATCTGATGCAGTGACTGACCTGAAGCCAGACTCTGGGGACCCTCGGCTGCCCGGTCTGTCTGGGGACCGACACATCCCTCACCCTTCTGACCGAAGGCTCAGAGGCCTGATAAAGCCAAGGAGCCACCCATCCATCCATTCGTCTGTCTGTCCCCGGCATCCTCCGTGGAGCTCACCAAATGCGAGTTGCCAACCCTCCTCTAGGAGCCTCCCGTGTGTCTAGGGGTCTCACATGCCCTCTGTTCCCTTCCTGCTCTTATTCACCCGCCCTGAACTCCAGCCAAGGCACCCAGAGACAGGCAAGTGAGTCAGTGCTGGGTCTGGTCTGTGTGCCTCTCTTTTCCGGAAGGAGTCAGAGAGATTCAAACGTGACCAGGACCCAACCCCAAGGAGACGATCATCCTTTGCTAGCTTTGAAGGTGGAGGGGCCACATAGCGAGGAGCCGAGGGTGGCCCCTGGCAGACAGCCAGTAGGGAGAGGAGCGCCTCGGCACAACAGCTGCACGGGACCAAATTTGGCCAATAACCTGAACAGGCTTGGAGGCCAACAACTCCTCCCCCAGCCTGCGGACCAGAGACCTGACAGTCTATTCCCTTGATTTCAGCCCGTTGAGCCCACCCACAGGATTGTGATGTAATAAATTAGTGTTTAAGCTGCTGTGTCTGTAGTCATCTGCCATAGCAGTAGAAAACTCCTATTTGCCCCGCTGTAGTGAAGGTGCCCGAGGAGGCAGGTGGCGGCCACCAGCCCTGGCCTTCCCATGCATTCAGGAGCCTGGGGCACTTGGCATCATGCTCTTTACCAAGAGGGGCCCCCAGGTAGGCCTGGCCGTAGTTTCTGCTGTCCTTAGCTTTTTCTGCCACTCCCCCATTCCGTGCCCTGGGTGGGTCTGGGCTTCCCGGCCCAGGACCTCCCTGCCCCACCTGCACCTGGAGACCGGCCTAGGCCCTTTCAGCTCCCTGACCACCCTCACGTGCTGGTACCTGGTGTCCTCGCTCCCTCTGCCATCTTCTCACCCCCAGGCCAAGGGTCATCCGCCTGTGTAGACAGAGCTAAGTTTCTAGAGCATCAGGAGGAACATGAACCTGAACAGAACCTGGAGACTCCAACCTTCGGAGCGGACAGGGGCGGGGGGGGCAGGGGAGCGAGGGGGGCTGTTCCCGAAGGGGCAGCCTGGCTGGACGGCGCTGAGTGCGGCTGCTCCGCGCAGGCCTGAGCCGTGGCTCCCTTCCTTTTCTTTCTTCTTTTTCTGTGCCGCTCCATGTGTCTTGTGGGATCTTAGTTCCCCAACCAGGGATTGGACCCCTGCCCTCTGCTGTGAAAGTACTGACTCCCCACCAGCAGACCGCCAGGGAACTCCCCCTCCTTTTTTTTTCTTTTCTCCCAGGGGAAAAAAGTGACTGCAGCAGGTGGTGGCTGCTAGGCCAGACCCGGCTGGGAAGGAGGGTGGGTCTGTGAACAGCGAGTGAGCTCCAGGCTGCCGCCTCCCCTAGGCTGAGTGCCGTCAATCGTAGGCAGAGGTTGGCCATGGCGGGCCAGGCGAAAGGCTGTGAGCGCATCACAGTGGGGCCCTAGTAGCCCCAGCTGGGCGATGCTGACTGTCCTCCCATCCCGCCCTCAGCCTGGGGCCCGCCAAGAGAACATCCTCAAGATGCCTCCCAAGGCATTGAGACCAGAACAAGCCAGGGACTAAGAGCCAGGGTGCTTCAGTTTTGGGCCTGCCATGATCAGAGTAATGGGGCCCATTCAGAGCTCAGTGTTTCTTTTATATATATATAATTTATTTCTATATAATTTATATTTTTTATTTATTTATTTAAATTCTGGCTGTGGTGGGCGTTCATTGCTGTACAGTCTTTCTCTGGCTGCGACACTTAAGCTTCCCCTTGCGGTGGCTTCTCTCGTTGCAGAGCACGGGCTCGGGGGCACAGTTGCGGCTCTCGGGAACGGGGGCACAAGGGCCCAGGAGGTGTAGTGCAGGCTCTACTGCTCCTCTGTGCCCGCAGGCTCAGTGGACAGCACCCTGCGCCGCTGCATCCCGCCATCAGCAAGGCCAGTGAGCCCGGAGGGAGTGTGTGAGGGGTAGACTGGGCCCAGCATCAGTCTCACACTGCACCCCGTCCCCGCAGGCCTCAGAAAGCCTGCCTGACCTGCCAGGAGGGGCATTCAGAGTAGCCCTGAGAACCACCCCTGCCGGGGACAGGACGCTGGGCTTCTCTCCATGCAGGTATTTTTTAGCCATTCACCTGCTCCAGTTGGTAGCGCTGAAGCCAAATGGCCCAGCCTCTCCCAGGAGTATTGATGCACCTGTTTCCCCATCTGTGATCTGACCTGGTAACATCTGCCCCATTAGGGCTGTCAGGTGAGTCAAAATGACTCAGCGAGCCATCTGCCCAGCGAGCACTCGGGTTGTGCCAGGCATTGGTGGGCTCTCAACTGATCTCTGAACACTCGGGAGGTGTTCCCGTTTCATGAATAGGGAAACAGGCCCAAAGAGGCTAGGTTATGTGCCCCACGACCCACAGCAGGCAGGATGTGAAGCCAGATTTGAATCTGGGCCATGGACTCAAATTCCACAGTGAGTTATGTCACTTCCCTTATAGAAAATAGTTGTAAAATGCTAGAAATGAATGACACACTAGTAACTAGCAGTGATTGACAATTACTATTTATTTTTAATATGTATTTTGTTTATTTGGCTGCACTGGGTCTTAGTTGCGGCATGTGGGATCTAGTTCCCTGCCCAGGGAATCAAACCCAGTGCATGCGTGCTGAGTCACTTCAGTCATGTCCAACTCTTTGTGACCCCATGGACTGTAGTCCACCGGGCTCCTCTGTCCTTGGGATTCTCCAGGCAAGAATAATGGAGTGGGTTGCCATGCCCTCTTCCAAGGGATCTTCCCGACCCAGGGATCAAACCTGTGTCTCTTATATCCCCTGCATTGGCAAGTGGTTCTTTACCACTGAGCCACCTGGGAAGCCCCCAGCTCCCTGCATTGGGAGCACACAATCTTAGCCACTGGATCACCAGGGAAGTCCCTGACAATTGCTATTTATTAATAACATTTTAAGAAATTTAAATAGAGCAAAGGAGAAGGTCCACCAGCCGAGACCCTACACACTTAGTTTAGAAGCCAGGGAGAGTTTCCATGGTGAGCTTTGAGTGGTTGAAGCAACAGGGCAGAAAGGACCCAGGCGGACTTCCTGTGCAGGAAAGCAAGAGCAGCTGGCCAGCTGCCTCACCTGCCATCTTGAGGAGGGTCTGCACCCAGCTACAGAGCTGGGGGCTGGGGGCTGAACCTCTACACCTCCCTCAAGCCTCTCCTGACCCCCTGCTCCCTGCAGGAGGTGTCATTGTACTCACTGAAACGAGGACGGAAGTTATATCCTGCAACCTACCCCCCACCACAGCACCGTAGGGTACATAGAGATTCCATGTGAGGGGAAGGGCTGCCTTGAGGCCTAGGGAGGGAGGAGACCCAGGAAGGAAAGGGGCTACAGAGGACTCCTAAGGAGCCAGAGGTCAGAAGTCAAAAATCATAACTATGGCTATAGTTTAGGAAACATCTATATTTATTGAGTACTAACTCTTGGTGATATTACCCAAAAGCTGGGTTTGCTTCTTAGTGGGTGTTGAGCAAAAAGACACAACCAAGAAGTAAGGATTCATTATTATTTGTGGCAAATGAGGAGAACACTTTGAGTATCTCTTCAAAAGCAGTGTCTCCCTGGACAGCAGAAGTGAGGAAGTTTTAAGCTAAGGGTACATGCATATTCATGAAGAGGGTTGCTTGAGGCCAGGCTTAGATCACAAAATGGCCTAGGCCAAAAATGGCTTCTCTTCTGTCAATAAAACCATACTAGGTTCACTTTCTCCAGGGACACCCCCCCCCCCCCCCATCTGCTTACAGTAAGGCTCCACAAACTTTACAAACAGCTATTCTGCCACTTCAGAGAGGTGGAAACTGGGCTTTGGTGAGGTTAACTGCCCAAGGCTGCACACTCAGTGCCAGAGCAAGGATTTGAATCTCAGCAGGTCTGAGACCAGAGCCTGCATGGCTAGCCACCAACCTGATTCAGGGGCCAAGGCAGCAGCATCTTCAGATTCTGCCCACTTCACAGAATTACCAGTTTGTGGCCTCGGTAACTACTGAGCTGCTCAGCACCCAGGATCACCACTGGCTCATTTCTCAGTGCTGCCACAGCATGCCTCTCTGGCACATGCCTGCAATGACCCAGGGGAGATTCTCCTTCTCCCTGGGAGAGGTTGTGAGAAAACCCTCCTTGCCTTGCTCTCGCATAACTGCAATTTGGGGTGACACAGGAGAGTGTCCAAGGAGGAAGTCCTAGGCTGTTAGTAGGGATGAGGGGTGGCCAGACAGGGAAGCAAAGTCCACATGCCCTTCAAGAGCTACAGTGGGCCTGGGCAGAAGAATAGGTAGGTGCCCAGGGCACCCTCTGCCTGGGAAGACGGAACACCAACTTTGGCCATGCATGGTGCTTCTAACAAGTTAGGCTGTTCGATGGCCTAATTAGTTATCGAATGGAGGTCCTACTGCTTGCCACTCACAAAATCAATTACATACTCACAAATGTTGGTGGCAAAAGAAAGGTGCTTTTAATTAGTTCAGTTCAGTCACTCAGTCGTGTCTGACTCTTTGCAACCCCATGAACCACAGCACGCCAGGCCTCCCTGTCCATCACCCACTCCCGGAGTCCACCCAAACCCAAGTCCATCCAGTTGGTGATGCCATCCAACCATCTCATCCTCTGTTGTCCCCTTCTCCTCCTGCTTCCAATCCCTCCCAGCATCAGGGTCTTTTCCAATGAGTCAGCTCTTCGCATCAGGTGGCCAAAGTATTAGAGTTTCAGTTTCAACATCAGTCCTTCCAGTGAACACCCAGGACTGATCTCCTTTAGGATGGATTGGTTGGATCTCCTTGCAGTCCAAGGGACTCTCAAGAGTCTTCTCCAACACCACAGTTCAAAAGCATCAAATCTGTGCTCTCAGCTTTATAGTCCAACTCTCACATTCATACATGACCACTGGAAAAACCATAGCCTTGACTTGACAGACCTTTGTTGACAAAGTAATGTCTCTGCTTTTTAATATGCTGTCTAGGTTGGTCATAACTTTCCTTCCAAGGAGTAAGCATCTTTTAATTTCATGGCTGCAATCACCATCTGCAGTGATTTTGGAGCCCCCCGAAATAAAGTCAACCACTGTTTCCATTGTTCATTTGTCACGAAGTGATGGGACAAGATGCCATGATCTTAGTTTTCTAAATGTTGAGCTTTAAGCCAACTTTTTCACTCTCCTCCTTCACTTTCACCAAGAGGCTCTTTAGGCCCTCTTCACTTTCTGCCATTAGGGTGGTGTCATTTGCATATCTGAGGTTATTGATATTTCTCCCAGCAATCTTGATTCCAGCTTGTGCTTCTTCCAGCCCAGGGTTTCTCATGATGTACTCTGCATATAAGTTAAATAAGCAGGGTGACAATATACAGCCTTGACCTACTCCTTTTCCTATTTGGAACCAGTCTGTTGTTCCACGTCCAGTTCTAACTGTTGCTTCCTGACCTGCATACAAGTTTCTCAATAGGCAGGTCAGAATGCTGGCAATCTGGGGAGATGGTGGACTCAACCTCCCCCAAAAACTTTTAAAGGGAAGAAATCTCAGTCCTTGAGACTGTGTGTCAGAATTGTCACCATCACCCCCATGAAACTGTTTACCTCAGATTGGAACTTGAATCCATGTGCTGGGGCTCCAACTCAGCCAAAACATTGCTTGGGACTTAAACTCACAAGTTTGGGACTTGAACCCGGCCAAAACCAATAGTCTTTGAACTGAGATCTCAGACCTGGTTTCAGGACCTAACAAACCTCATATCAGAAAGAATTCAGTGAGACACAAAGTGATAGCTAAGAAATGTATTTATTCAGAAAGAAACACACTCCATAGCGTGCAGGCCGTCGCAGAGGGTGAGTGCTGTGGCCTTAAAATATGGTGTGGCTAGCTTTTATGGGCTGGGTAATTTCATAGGCTAATGTGTTAGTGTTACTCACTCATGTCAGACTCTCTGCGACCCCAGGGACTGTAGCCCGCCAGACTAGTTTGTCCAACGGATTCTCCAGACAAGAATACTGGAGTGGGTTGCCATTTCCTACTCCAGGGACAGGCTAATGAGTGGGAGGATTATTCCAACTATTTTGGGGAAGGGGTTGGAGATTTCCAGGGGTTGAGCCACTGCCCACTTTTTGGTCTTTGAGGGTCAACCTTTGAGATCTTTGAGGGCCAAACTGTCATGGTGGCTCACATTAGCTTGCTGCTGTGTTATAATTATTTTATACTGAGGAGCAAGGTCTAGTCAACTTGATTTGTCTGCCACCTTGGACCCATTTGGTTCTAATCGGTTTGTGCTATGCCCTCTGGTTATGTCCTTCTTTCAAAAGTTGTGCCTGCCCGCTTCCCTCCTGTTTCACCCATGTAGTCAACTTCTTGTGCTCTTCCTCTAGAGGCTATCTTGTTCATAGTTTGTTCAGATTACTGAAGTATAGGCTAGGGAAGCAATCCAGTCACCTGCTAAATTCTTCATTTCTCCTTTTTTGATCTGCGGAAAGAATATGGCAAGATACTGTGCGATTAAAAATTTGAAAGGTGTGCTTAGCCTAGAGATGGGTAAAGCATGGTTTCAAGGAGGGGATGTGTGTGCTGGTTCAAAACTTGTTTACAATTTAGCTTTGCTAGTAACAATAAAAGGAGCTTCCTACTGAGGGCAGTTTCCTGCAAAGGGCAGTTTCCTGCAAAGAGCTGCTTTCACACTGTCTCACACCAACAACAGCATCTAAGGGTCCTTACAGGGCCTAAAGCCTCGCTAAACTGGTTTAAATAATCCTCACAACCTAGGCTGTGGGGGGAAACTGTACAGTTTTCTGATACGGTGGCCGAAAGATCCGGAATTTAACACCTGCTCAAAATGGCCACCAGGGAGTTCCATAATCATGAGTCAGACTACTAGGTCTGACTGTGATGAATACCACGTCTACGGCAGCCCAGGTCTCTCTGTGATGTGACTGTCTTGACTCCGCGATGACCAAGACATACCATTCATACACTCTCCCTGGGACGTGAGGCACCCTACACTTGCGAACTTCAGCCCTGTATTCCCTGCAAGAATGATGGACTTGCGCCCAGGCCTTCGCCTGACTGCATCAACGCGCGGACCTCGCCTTTGCCACAACCAAGATGGCTCCACCGCCCACAGTCCCTCCCGCGCTCGGTCCCCGCCCGACTCCACCGCCTCCCCAACTCCGCCAACCGGCCCCGCCCGCGCCACGGCGCCAAGATGGCGGCCAGACACTCGGCCGGAGCGCCCCCCCAACGGCGGATTACTTAAAATGGCGGTACGGGGCGGGGCCGTCGGGCGCGGGGCACGCTGGGGCCGGCGCGCGGGCTGCCGGGAACGGGGCGGAGCGCGGCCGCGCCGGCGCGTCGAGGGGGAGAGGCAGTCGCCGCGATGGTGAGCGGGCGCGGGGGGAGGGGCGCCGGGCCGGGGCCGGGGCCGGGGCCGGGGGCGGCGGGGGCGTGGGGCCGCGCGGGGGGGCCGCGGGGCCGCGCTCACGCCGGCCCGCCGCCCCCAGGACGTGTTCCTCATGATCCGGCGCCACAAGACCACCATCTTCACGGACGCCAAGGAGTCGAGCACCGTGTTCGAGCTGAAGCGCATCGTCGAGGGTATCCTCAAGCGGCCGCCGGATGAGCAGCGTCTGTACAAGGTGCGGTCCCGTAGGTTCCGGGCGCCCGGGGGCTGTAGGCGCCCATGGGCGCACGGCGGCAGCGTCGTTGATGTAAACATCAGCGACCGGCCTCCGCGGGCCGGAACTCCCCCGCTTGGGGCCGTTGCTCGAACTCGGGGAGGTGAAGCCCCGATAGCACTCACTGCACCGAGGTTCTCGATTAGGAGGGCGTGAGCTGCTCGCGCCAGACCCTATGCTGAGCGCCGAGGGCCGGCGTCTCATCTCATTCTTAACTACGGTCCCCTTGCGACGTTCTGGCGCTTGACTTCCTAGCTCGGCCGTGAAGAAAACTGAGGCTCGGAGGTGGCCAGTTGACCAACCCAAGGTCGTTGGCAGAGTCAGGATTTCAGCCGCGATGCTCTTAATCCTCTGAAAGCCTATCCCTCGCCCCTCGGCCCAGACATTCTTTAATGTAAAGAAATGGAGGGTGTTGAAATGCGTCAGGTCCCACCACTTCTTCCCCCAACAACTGTTTGTTACTCCCCAGTTTACTGGTAATGTTCTAAAAGCCCCCTGCCCTCCTCCGTTTCCCCTTAAAAACCAATCGCAATTACTCAGCAAGGATGGCTTGGGGTTTGGCGTTTTGGGGGCAGTCCAGAGTATCGCCCCTCTTTCAAGTCTTTCGGCAAGAGGTCGCTCACCCAAGTGCATTGATCTGCTTCTGCCTGGAAACTGATCTTTTGCTCCACTCCCTTTGTCTGTAAAGGCTTTTTTTCCTCATCTACTGGGATTTCTGTGATAAGGACCTTTCCTGCTGCCTGAGTTTGTTCTACTGTGTGTCCTTTGCTCATTGAAGCCTCTTGGCTGCCCTATGAATTGAGAATTCCAATAACTTGTATTTTACAGATAAGAAAACTTCACATCAAAAAGAGGAACCTGTTTGTCCAAGGTGGTAGAGCTGGGGTGCAACCAAATCTACCTGTGGCCAGATTGGTTCACTGGCACTTGAAATTGCATTCACCTAGAGTTAGGGGGTGGGGAGCAGGGGAGATTCCAGAGCCCTATCCTGGGAGATTCTGATATGGAGAGTCTTGGGTGTAGCCCTGGAAACTTACATACTCTGGGGTGGTTCTGGGCCCTACTTGGGGCTGTGTCTCTTCCCCCTTGTGACTTTCAGTGTAACTGTTGACCAGAGAAGTCTTTGTGCCTTGCCCCTCTTGGGGCCTCTCCTAAGACCCTGCCTTCCTCTCTCCTCAGGACGACCAGCTTCTGGACGACGGCAAGACGTTGGGCGAGTGTGGCTTCACCAGTCAGACAGCACGGCCTCAGGCCCCCGCTACTGTGGGGCTAGCCTTCAGGGCAGGTGAGAGGGGCAGCGACAGGGTGGAAACAGCCAGTGAAAGGGGTGTTCGGGGAGCCTGCAGTTGTTCCTCCAAATCTCGTGAACCCTGTCTCCCTGTACATCAAATACAAGCAATGTGAAGCATGTGAGATGCTTGTGGAAACTGAAACCCATTACTTGGAAGATTCACAGATCCTTAGTCACAGTACTGGCTTACACTTACAGAGGACTAAGGGCCTGGCCCTGCACTCTGCATTTTATTTCCGTTGTCCAGTCCTGTCCAGTCCTCTGGCTAGCCCTGAGGGGTAAGCACTGCCATCCCCATTTGGGAGCCTCGGATGCCTAGGCTTGCTGTCAGTCTCGTGGGGACCCCCCAGCCCAGATGCAGGCTGCCGGGCCCTTGTTTGAGCGGGGCCACCTTATTTGAGCCATGCCACCTGCTGTCTCCATGGTGCATCTCTGTACTGGGCAGACTTTTATTAGGATCATTTTAAGGATGAGTGAGCTGAGCCTGCAGAGGCTAGATTGGGTTCTGCCCTTTCTTGCCCTCAGAGCCGATACTCTGCTCAACCGCGTGCCAGCCTGACCAAAGCTTAAGATACCTGAGTGGTGGGGGTGGTTATGTTGCTCCAGTGTATCTCTTTTTCCCAAGAAAAAGATTTAAATTTTATCCTTTGCCTCTGAAAATTTAAACAGGGGTTATAGGGTCTTTTCACAGCTGTAGACCCAGGGGCTGGTGAATTTGGATGAAGTTACAAGTTTATTTTTATAGCTTGTAAGAAATCTTAGCGAGGGCTCAGGAGGGAGCATATAGCCTCAGTTACACTTTAGCCTCACAAATACCCTGTTCTGTTGAGGACAAAGCAAGTGAAGCCTCAGCAGCTGTGTCCTCGAACAGCTACTTCATGCCCCGTGCCTCCCAGACTGGCGTGGTCTCCAAAAAGGACGACTCCGGGACCAGCCTCACAGCGAGGGGGCGAGCCCTCGTGCACCCAGACCCCATGGGTACTCAGGAAAAGGCAATTCTGGGGGCCTTTCTGTGGGTTCCCTTGAGTCTCAGTGGTGGGCAGGAAGGTGCAGTGCTCTATAAACGTGTTCTCTGAGGCAGGTAGGAGAGGGCTGAAAGTACATGTGTTCTTCCTAAGCTAGGCCAGGCTGCAAGTATGTGCATGTATCCAAGAGAAAGTATCTGTTCCTCTGATTTGAACAAAGGCACTCTGTGGACTTGCAGCACCTCAACCATCTTGCAGGTGAAAACTGTCACAGTGCAGTGAGGTGGTTTTTCCTCATGACCCCCAGTTGTGGCATACGTTGTGGTGACTGCACCTTGGGTGGCAGCACCTCAGGTAAGGAATTGCCATTTTGATGGGGGCTGTGGTGTGGACTGAAGACAGGCTGATTCTACTCACAAAGTGCACTTATGGGTGGGGAGTTGTCTCCCTGTGTAGAGACAGGTCTCTACCCCCCAAAGTGGCTGCGTAGGTAGGGAGGTGTGATGACAGTGTCAAGTGCTAAATGGCACCTTGCAGACCATTTCCACAGAGAATGGGGAGAGGTGATTAAGCTGGGCCAGGTGTCTTCAGCACTGTTGACATTGGGGCTGGATGATTCTGGGTGGTGATGTCATCTGCATTGCAGGATGTTTAGCATCTCCAGCTCCTAGTAGAGATAGTCATCTCCCCACTAGAGGCCAGTTTCAACCGATTAGCCAGGGAGCCTAATTGGTTGAGATCCTGAGCCAGGTGGAGAGGTTTTTCATGCAGAAGAAAAAGTGCAGTTCAGTTGCTCCGAGAACAAGATAGGTTAAGCATCCTGGGACCCGCTGTTCCTAGTAGAGCAGTGGTCCTGAGAAATGGGGCATTCCCAACTGGTGGTTGTGTGTCCTGGGCATTGGGAACAGAGGGACTGTATAGGGTGCCTGGGGAAGGTTTCTCTGAAGAGGAACGAGGTGATATCTGAATGCCCTTGGGTGCTAGGAGGCAGCAGCCATTCTAAGTGGCAGAGGGCAAGGCGAGAAAAAGCTTCATGTGGGAACATGGGGAGCATAGGAAAACATGTGGAGCAACGTAATGGCATGATGTGAAGCAGGAAGAAGTGTGAAGGGAATGGGGAGATGGGGGAGATTGTAGGTGGATGCAGATAAGTCCAGAGGCTCACTCAAGGAGACCGAGGGTAAAGAGGGCCCCTGTGTGGCCAGGCTGGGGGAGGGCAGCGGAAGCTGCCCCAACTCCAGCAAGGCCCCCTTTTCTCTCCCCCAGATGAGGCATTCGAGGCCCTGCGCATTGAGCCCTTCTCCAGCCCACCTGAGCTGCCGGATGTGATGAAGCCACAGGACTCAGGAAGCAGCGCCAACGAACAGGCTGTGCAGTGAGAGGTCTCCCCAACTGTTCCCTCTCAATAAAAGATTTGGGTGCCCACCTGGTTGCTGCCCTTTTTCTGCACACCCTCTCCTGACTCAGGCATCCCCCTCCCTGTTGTGTGGCCTACCCTCAGCCTCTTCCAGCCCAGCCTTCTCAGCCTGGGAACAAAAAGGATCTTGTGCTTTGTTTCTCCAGGGCAGCCCTTCCCAGCACGCTGGCTGGGTTCTGTGGGGGATCTGGAGCCTAGGCAGCCTCACCAGGCTCCCCTAAGACGTGGCCCTTGGGGGCAGGGGATGCAGCCAGAAAGCAAAAGCAGCTCCTCTCCTAGCCCTCCCACCCCCAATAAAGTTTGTAGACCGAATTCCTGCATTTCTCATTTTTATTTGACAGAAAAAGTTGCTCTTGCTGTACAGATTTTAAAAAACCAAAATGCCTTTAAGAAACGTGAAGAAAAGTTGGGGGGAGGGGCCACAACCTCACTGGGAGGCCAGGAGGAGCCAACTGATTTCAACTCCCCTTCCTTCTGGGTGTAACTCACACAGGTCCGCAGGTTCCAAACCATCATCCCCCCAGGAACTCAGGGTTAAAGGGGGGCAGTGCCTCCAAAGTCCTTTCTGAGTCAAGACCTGGGAGTCCCAAACCATATCCTCCCCTCCCGCAACTCCCATTCTCATTCCCAACCCACCCCAAACCCCCCAAAAACATGTGAACCAGGAAAAACTCACGGAGATTAACATTTCACAGAACAAAGAAAAAAAAGGAGGGAGGGAAATAAGGGAGCCCTCCCCCATGGGATGTTGCCAGGGTTGGGGGAGGGGGGGAGGGCAGACAAGACCCCATCCCCCGGCTCTGTTGGGGAAAAAAGGAGGGCGCGCCCCACGGCTCCAGAACTTGGGGCAGGATGGAATTCCCCTGAAAGGATTCACGGAGACCTGAAACGGAAGAGAGTCATCAGTGCAGAGGCCCAGGCAGCCCCGCGCTCTCAGCAATGAGCCCAGCCCCGCAGTGTGACAAGGACTCACCTCGAGGAGCGATGCCGCACGGGGCGGGGGCTGGGTGTCTCCTTCCTGCGCTTGTGACCCGGGGAGCGGCTGTCCCCCTGCTGGCTTCTCCGGGAACCCCGCTCGCTGCTGCTGCAACGGAGAACCGTCATGAGACCACACAGATCACATCACCAACACCTGGTACCTTGGAGCCTTAAAAAAACATTCTGCAGAAAGCAGCAGCTAGACTGGGCAATTGGCAGGAGAGCACAGTGGCGACTGTACCTCTGCTGGTCCCGCGGTGAGGGCTGGGGTGAGGGGCGGCGGCGCTCAGCGGGCGAGTAGCTGAGGGACCGGGAATCCCGGAGGGAGTCTATTGGCTTCCGGGGGCTGCGGGACCTGGGGATCAGAGCAGGTCTCCATAGTGCCACACTCCTCCAAACCCAGCAGCCAACACTCAGGACCACCCCCACCCCACCCCAGGTCCTGACCGCCAAACCTCATACCACACAGGGCCAACCTCAGACCCACCTTCATCCGCTCACTCACCCATCCGCCCGCACACCATCCACCGAGTCCCCCAACAGGTGGGGCACGGGGTGCAGCGGGGGACGCAAAGATAAAGACAGTCCCTGCCCTTGGAGGGGCTGAGTCTGATGGTGAAGGGAGGCCAAGGGAGGCTCGCTGGGCCCCATGTGTGGGAAGCAGCCCCACAGTTGAACACAGGGTGTACACAGGGTCTGGGGACCCAGGGGAGGGAAGACAAGGGCAGGGTAGGGAAGGGGCAGGGCAGTCTTCTCGAAGGTGCTGTTTGAGCGGAGTCTTGCAGAACGAGGAGTTCACCAGGCGGACAAGGGAATTCCAGGCAGGAGGAACAGCATGTCCAAAGGCATGGGGTTCTCCTTAGACTGCAAGGCGCTGTTGAGTGTGGCTGGAGCACAGGGCATGTGTGGGGGCGGGCAGGAGAGGAGAACACAGGGCAGGCAAGGCCAGTTGGTGAAGAGCCTCACACGCCATTCCCGCAGAGGTGGGGCTTTATCCTGCAGGCCACAGGGCGTCCCGGAAGGATTTGTGGAGTGAAGGGAGTAACCAGATGTGCGGTTTTAGAAAGATCCCTCTGGCTACGTGTGGAAGAGAATGGCGTGGAGGCAGGGAGACAGGGAAGAGGCTGTGGACAGAGTCGGGAGAAGATGACGGTGGCCAGACCAGAGCCCTGGTAACAGTAACAGGTTGACGTAAAAGCTAGAATCCCTGGGACCTGGGACCAGACTATATGTCAGGGGCAGGGAGAGGAAGGAACCTAGGACTCCCCAATTCTGGCTCACGCACCCGCTTGGATGGCGCAGCCCTCCGCCAGAACAGGGCACAAGAGCAGGCAGGGAGAGGAGAGCCCAACTCCTCCTGTACGAGCAGACACACCCCAGGGTCACACCCCACCCTTGTGTCCAGCAAGGCAGCACTCACCTCCGCTCGCCAGGGGGTGCCTTCTTGGGGCTTGCAGGTTTGGGCAAGGCCTGAGGGCCAGGCTTAGCAGGGGAGGGGGAGGAAGAAGTGGAGGAAGAGGAGGAGGAGGAGGAGGAGGATGAGGAAGAGGAGGAGGAGGAGGAGGAAGAGGAGGATGATGATGAAGAGGAGGAGGAGGAGCTGGAACTGGAGCTGCTAGAACGCCTCTTCCGCTTGGCTGGGGCTGGCTCCTGAGGACGGCCCTCTCGAACAGCCTCCTTGGGTGCTGGGGCAGGGCTGGGGACCCTGTGGGAGAAGAGGGTGTCATGTGGAGACAAGCTGCCCCAGCCCCAACCCTACCTTCCTTGGCCTGGAGGAACGGCAGTGGGGGAGGGGTGCTGAGGAAGGCCCTGGGAGCTCTCCCGAGCTGAGAGCTGAGCCGGGAGCCTGTGAGCGCATTCTCTGGAGAGCGTGGCCCCAGCTGACCCAACCTCTGCTAACACAAGCAACAGGCTGGGGCCCGCAGCAAAAGGGATCAAGGTTAAACCTCAAGAATGTCCCTGAAGGAGGAATAAGGCCCCTGGGCTCAGGTGTGGAAGCCGAGCTGGGTGGTCTCCGTCCTTGGAGAGGAGAGCCGCAGCTTGGGGAGGCCACTGTGTGTGCGGGTTGGCTGGGGGAGGGGCCGTCCTGCCTGGAGGCAGGGAGAGGGATAGGATGACCTCTGAAGATCCTTCCAGCCCAGGGAGTTCCTCTTGAGGTCTAACTGCCATCCCTCCTGCTGTAAAATTAAGTCCATTTCCTCTAGTTCTGTCCTCTGTAGAGACGGAAAACTTATCATTATCCTCTAGAGAATTAACCTTCGTCGACTTTTACCTGTCCCATCCCTCCCCCCGTTAACCCCCACCCCAGCATTCTCTTCTACCCCCAACTTAAGAGTCAGGGTCCCCATACCTCTTCTCAAAGAGCAAAGAACCTCTGGATAGGGCTTCTCCCTCCCCACTCCCACCAACCATCCCCGGAGCCTTCCCCGTACAAGAGTTCTACAAAGCCCCCTCACCTTTTCAGTGCTACCTCAGGTTGAGCGGGAAGGCTAGAGCCCTCCGAGTCACTAGAGCTGGAGCCAGAGGAGGAGGAGGATGAGGACGAGGACGACGACGAGGAGGAGGAGGAGCTAGAGGACGAAGAGGACGAGGAACTCCGCCGCTCCTTGGCTGGCTGCAGGGCAGCCAATGTGGAAGGCTGCTGGGCCCCCGCACAGGCAGGTGGGTCCCCACCCTCTGGGTGGGACACCCCGGGGACAGGGCCAGAGAGCATGCCATTGTGGTCACCAGCAGAGGACGTGGTCTTTGCCACCGTCCCGGAGGAAAGGGACTGAGACCCTGCTACAGGGGGGGTCTGGGCAAGCAAAGATCGAGATTGGTCAGAAAAAGCAGATGGCACAGGGGACCTAGGCCGATCCTGAGCTGGAGGAAGAGCAGACTGTGAGGGAGCCTGGACCATTCTAGAAGCGGGAGAGGGAGCCCGCTCAGAGGTCACTCTAGACTGGCTTGGGGCAGATGGCGGGGTTCTGGAGCCTGGGCCCCCTGGTGGGGTTCTGGACCTGGCTCGGTCAAGGAGTGGTGGTGAGGTTCTCCCACTAACACGCTCATAGGCAGAGAGGGGCACCCTGGGACTGGTGAGGTTTGCACCAGACAAGGCTGGAGCCATTCTAGCACTAGTGAGGTTTGCAGGGGCCAAGGCTGGAGGGGTTCTTGAGCTGGCGATATTCACAGGTGCTGTGGCATGTGCAGACCTAGGACCCACCAGGTTTGCAGGGGCTGGAGCCTGGGGTGCTCTGGAGCTGGACGGATAGTTTGCAGCAGTCGGGGCTGTGCCAGAACCCGTGAGACTCAGAGCTGCCAAAGCAGCAGGGGTTCTGGCTCCTGCTAGGTTCACAGCTGGGGCTGTGGGAGTACGAGGGTCAGCGAGGTTCACAGCCGAAGGTGCCACCGCTGTTCTGGGGCTGGCCAAGTTCATGGCTGCGGCCGCAGCTGGTGTTCTGGAGTCAGCTAGGTTAACTGCTGAGGGCAGGGCAGGTGTCCTGGCGCTGGCCAGGTTCATGGCTGCTGCAGAGGCTGCAGGGATCCTGCTGGCAAGACTGGCCGCAGGGGCCGTTCGGAGACTCATGAGAGGCACTGGGGCTGGAACCTGGGACATTCTCGCAGCAAGGCCAGCCGCAGACATGGACGGAGGCGGCCGCGCGGTGCCAAGGCTGATGGCCGTCAGGGCAAGTGCAATTCTTGACTGTGCATGGTTTTCAGGTACAGATGCTCGCGGGTGATCAGGAATTCGGGGACCTGGACCATCCATCATGGAACCGCCAGCTTGCTGCAGGACAGACATGGGTGTTCTGGAGCTGCCGAGGGGCTCAAGCACTCCGGGTGACCTACAGCGGTCAAGAGGAGTTGGTGACATGCTAGGACGGCTGAAGCAGCCCATTCTGGAGCTATTGAGAGCTACAGGCGGTGTCCGAGAACCAGAATGGTTTCTTGTTGCTGGCGGAGTAGCAGAACGTGATCGATCGGAACTGCTTCCAGAGGCAGAACGCCTGCGGATGGCTGGAGGAGATCTTGTTAAGGACCGTTTGCCCCGAGTTGTTCGTGGAGTACGGGATCGGGAACGGCGGCGAATAGCAAGTGGTGAGCGACTTCGAGAACGCTTGCGTGGCAGCAATGGGGTTCGAGACCTGGAGCGGCGCCGAATAGCTGGAGGAGTTCGGGATCTAGATCGGCGGCGTGTCACTGGAGAAGTTCGAGAGCGAGACCTTCTTCGAGTTACTGGAGAAGTGCGAGATCGTGATCTCCTTCGGGTGACCGGGGATGTTCTGGATCTCGATCTTCTGCGAGTGATAGGGGAGGTTCGGCTTCGAGATCGCCTCCTGGTTACTGGTGGAGTCCTAGATCTGGACCTTCTTCGAGTCACTGGTGGCGTTCTAGAACGGGAACGCCGGCGGGTCGGTGTTCTGGACCTTGAACGTCGGCGGGTTACTGGTGGTGTTCTGGACCTAGATCGCCTTCGACTCACGGGTGAAGCTCTTGATCGGGATCTTCGTCTAGTCATTGATGTCCTAGACCTGGATCGTCTCCGACTGACTGGTGAAGTTCGAGACCTGGACCTCCGTCGGCTAACCAGGGGTGTTCTGGACCTGGATCGCCGGTGAGTAGCTGGAGAAGCCCGAGACCTGGAGCGTTTCCATGGCGCTGGTGATGTGCGTGAGCGGGAACGCTTCCGACTGGTTGGGGGCGTCCGAGAGCGACCTCTGCGACGTCGAGAGGAGGTTCTGGAACTCTCCTGCCGAGCAGGAGATCTTGAATGGTAACCAGAGC